CTGCATATCACCGAAACTTTGCTCTCGATGCTGCACACAGGAGGAACGAGAACGACAAGATGAGGGAATTCGGGGAGAGAATTCAGAACGTTTATCAAGGCAGCTGCATATGATGTTGCACCACGGATGTGGTGCAAAAGTAGTCACAAACAATATCATTCAAAATTATTGGGGTGAACCGTGTAGACACGTCCCAAAGCATTGCCTAACTTTATCCCTGGATATCCTTCAACATCGGATCCTTGAGCTCTTTCTCTGGAAAATTTTCATTGAAGACTGCCATATGTAGGACTTGGGTACGTCAACATACAGGAGTATTTGAGCAAACTCATCTTCCTGTGAAGGCTTGAAGAATGCAGTGAGGATCGCATCAGCAGGATTTGCCATTTGATTTTGGAGGGACTCTTCTGTGAAGTATACTCTTTGTCCATTTTCCAGGTGAACAGCCAGATGAACTTCTGTTGGACATCGTTCGTGTATGGGAAAATTAAAAATTCTCCAAAGGGCTTCATTGCTGCATATATAACGGCCTTGCTGAAACTGTGTCACCTCATCATAATTTCCATCATTTTCCAATGCAAAGATCGCTTGGTCAGAGCCTTTGTTGACGAATTTTGCAGAGTGGGATAATATTACCATGTAATTCAATTGACAGTAGGAACATTATAGAATCTAGTCTCATTAAACATACCGAATCCGTCAACATGAATTTGAGTAGTGGTATATACAAACTGGATAATTTCGTAATTAAGAAGATTTGTAACAAGGTGAGAAGGTTGGGTCAGCTTACCCTCGGACCTGACTACCGACTGCTGCGGTGTTTTTTGAAGATTAGTAAGGTCATTACCTAATACCTGACCATTGTGGACTTTATCTCACCATCCTATGTATATATATATATATATATATATATATATATATATATATATATATATATATATATATATATATATATATATATATATATATATATATATATATATATATATATATATATATATATATATATATATATATATATATATATAAGTAAATAAATCACTGTAGGTGCGCGTTATCTAGGTATATGCTGATAACCACAAGGAAAGAAAAACACGAAGTTCCCAAGCGCTTTCGTGTAATTCACATCTTCAGGGGTGAGTACAGACTAGTCTGTACTCACCCTATTATATATATATATATATATATATATATATATATATATATATATATATATATATATATATATATATATATACTTTCCTTTGTCTGTCACCCTGATGTGAATTTCACAGCGCTTAGAACTTCGTGTTTCTTCTTTCCTGTAGTTATCAGCATATATATATATATATATATATATATATATATATATATATATATATATATATATATATATATATATATATATATATATATATATATATATATATATATATATATATATATATATATATATATATATATATATATATATATATATATATATATTGATAAAATCACACAGGAAAAAGGGAAACGTTGGAGCAACATCGCTTTCGTCTTTATTCAAGACATTTTCAGAGGCAACTGAATTAAAAGGACAGAGAGAGGTTTAAGTACACAGGGTGACCTCACTAAACATGAGGTCAGGTCATAAACATGACATCCACTAATCCGCACACCAATACCACCACACAAACAAAAAAGCTTAAAAGAAAGGGCGACATAACTAGTCATGTTAAGTCAGGTCAAAAATATGGGACCTACTAATCATCTGTCCTATATCTAACTCGAATGCTTTCAAGGCATTTTTAACCTTAGGCCACTGACGAATAGATTTGTGTAACGTATTATCAGTTGTGTACTGACAATCGCCAAAGTTTATAGAATTAAATTCTCTAATCAAACTTTCTTCAACAAAAAGTTTTTCTGTGACATAAGAACATAAGAAAATAAGGAGTCTGCAATAGGCCGGTTGGCCTGTGCATGGCAGCTCATGTCGAGAGTTACTACCACTCTCTATCATTCATGAATCTATCTTGTCTCCTTTTAAAACTTTCCAGCGTTCCAGCACTTACTACAAAGTTGTTAAGCTTGTTCCACTCGTCCGCTACCCTATTTGTGAACCAGTTCCTTCCTATCTCCTTCCAAAACCTAAACTTATCCAACTTAAATCCGTTGCTACGAGGCCT